TTAAGAAAATGATACGTGAAAAAAATCCTCGATTATCTTTAACAAGTCCAATTGGAAAAAAAATTAATTATCTTGATGTTAAGATAAGTCATATCAATGATCAACTTCGAACTATCATTAATCATGATCAGGACATTGAACCACGTGGATTACCTTTTATATCGGATCATCCACTTCTAATGTATTCAACATTAATTCAAGCATGTCTTATACGTGCAGCATTAGTTTGTTCCAAAGTATCTGATTTTGAAAATGAACGTCGTGATATTCAAATAGTCTTTATAATGAATGGTTATACAGTTGATTTTATTAAAGAACATGTTCAACAATTCTTTGAAGATTTTCATTTTTCCAATTGGAGATCACATTTAGATCAAAATACCTATGATAGAATGCGTCGAGAAATTATTGACTATGATCGAGAACGGCATAATGTGAAAATTGAACAACGAAAAAAACAACAAAATGAACAGATATATTACATTATGTCCGATCTAAATGGTGAAGAACTATACGATTTTCAAGAAGAGATTAAAATCTTATGGGACGAATATTTGAAAAATGAAGTACCATTTCATAATATGAATATTGAAGTTATTCATCGACCAAAATATCCATCATATACATAATGATTGTGTTTAGTTGTCATTGTTCATATATATATATATAATTGTGTTTTTTTTGTTGCTGGAAGTCGTCTCTTTTTGCTAAAAGTAGTTTATTAGATTTAGTCGTTAGGTAGTGAACAAAGATCATCTAAATTGTAATAGGAATAATTACGGCAACTTATCAGGTTTATCTATATTTATACTACGGTATTATGTGAGTGTCTTCGTCTACGTTTACTTTTGTATATGAATTTCTCTTCTTCGTAGCACTGTTTGCAAAAAAATATTAGATTCAATTAATCAATACATTTTGTTTTTTTTTCGTTTACTCTTCATCAATGTGTTCAGTTTTCATTAAATTTGTTCTTTTTTTTCCATTTTAGATTATTCTCCATGTCTTCGAACGTTGATTTGAAAACAATTCACCATTCATACATTGAATTCTGATATATATTGTTAGATAGACGAACAATTCAATAGCAAATTCTCTATCTTATGACTCTCAGGCTTCATATCGAATGTTTGATATAATGTTAATCATTCAATGTTTATGATATATATGAATTTTCGATGTACTAGCAAGAACAATATAGAAATGATCAGTTATATTATATTTGAAAGAAAAAACAAAACATGTATGAAAAAACATTGAAGTTCAAACAAATGGAAAAATTATATGTTAAACACTGATAGAATCATTATTTTCTATCGAAAGTAATCTATCATAAAATAAATCGATTAAATTATGAAATTATTAGTATATCGAAACTTATTAAAGAACTTGCTCTATTGATGATTATTTGATGTATATGTATCCGAAAAGAGATCATCCAAAAACAAAAAAAGAACATTATCCATTTGGAATCATATCAGAATAAAGATACATATCCGATATGAAGAAACACTAATGCAATCTCAATGAGAAGAGTAGTAGACACAATTTACGCAATTATTTACCACAATGTTGATTCCATTGGAGAAGACACATTAAAGCTTTTTAATTCTATTCACTTACGATTAAATTCAATGTCCTCATTCTTCGCAAAACAAGAGAATTAATATCTACTGTATATTCAAAAAAAAAAAAAAACATTTTTAATAATATGATATTATGTCATCGAAAAATCATTGACATTAGTATAGAATTGAAATAAAAATAACTATTTCCGTTTTCTTTTTTGTTTATAATACTCAATTCAATCTATACGCTATATTTTTGTTAATATCTATTTACTATTTTAGATAAAATTCTACGTTTTACTAATCATTAATGGCTATGAATAATAATAATGATTCTAATCAAATTAAGCTTCATGACAACATTGCTAACGATGAGCAAGTAAAAGAGAGATATACGAGCATTCAATGCTCATTTTTCAATCATCAATTTTATATCTATTTTAGGATGATGATTTAAATCTGACAGAAGAGATGCATATAAAATTAAGATCTCATTCTAATAGCCAAACATCTTCTAATTTAAAAGTACATATATTTTTATATTGATTCAGATGAATAAAAATTTTTTGTTTTTGTATATTTTATTGCTAGTCTCGTGAAGAACGCATTCTATCACAGAAAATGAGTCAATTATCAACAGATACCACCTATGAAAAAGAATTTAACATAATGAAATCAATTGAAGATATTCTCAAGAAATTTCCAGTTTATTTAACAAAACGACATGTGCCTTTTCAACAAGTAATGAATCAAGCATTATCAATGATAGGTATAGAAGCATCGAATTCTCATCGAAATGAACTACGACATATCGCTATTTTACAATATAAAATTATAATGATTCAAAATTATCATCATTTGTGGTCAACATATTTTAAATCAGGTTTAGGTCAATTGATAGTTGCTGATTCAGAAAAGAATTTGATCTATCCAACAAATTTACAAATTTGGCCACAAGAAATAAAAACAATTCTCTCAATAACAAAGACAGAACAAAAAAATGAACATAACATTTACATGATTTTTATCAATCATCAGTTACATTCATTAGATGATCAACAGAAACAATATCAAAATGAATTAAATATGAAAATCCATCAATTCAATAAGAATTTATTTAAAGTACAACAAATACTTGAAAAATATATTCGACAACATATGTCTTCTCAATGCACCGAGATTGAACATCAAATAGAACTTATTCATTATGATTATCATATTCAAGCAATAAAACAAGAATATGATCGACATAATCCAAATGAATATCAGGCATGTTTTTCATATGGGCTAGTCAATCTTAATATTGATTCATTGATCATTTTAGAGAAAATTAATTCGACAACTATGTGAAAGTAAATATGAACAAGAAATGACACAACAAGAATTTGATTTTCTTCAGAAACAAATAAATCATTTCAATTCACCTAGTCAATCATTTGAAAATTCACCCTTGTCTCAATCAATATTAATTAATTCTGTTGAAAATATTGAACTTCGACAACAATTATACAATCAATATAAAGAAATTGCTGAACAATCGAAAACTCAATTATTAGCTTTGTATAGGAAAACAGCTGAAGAACAACGAGATGAATATAAAAAGAGGCATGACGATAATATCATGAAAATGTGGCTTGAACGTGAAGCATCGTCTGACAATGAAAAAATACCATTATTAATGGTTAATCTTATTAATGAGCGTTGTAAAAAAATTGGAGAACGTATACAATCTATCTATAAATTTAAAGTTTAATATTGTCTTTCAATATCAAACTTATTTATCTATTAATGAATAAAAGACTTTTTTGATTCATTGATCTTCTTTAATATTAATCTATTAGCTTATCTGTATGTTTATCTTTGTCTTTTGTTTTATTTATTGTAGATACAATTTCAAACGAATTTAGTCTAATTCGACACATGGATGTCAACATGAGTGACGTTCAAAATGATCGTCAGCTTGCCAATCAAGGACAACGAAAGAAAAAATGTCATGGTAATCGAAGAGATCAACGTTTTAGAAAGAAACGCCGTGCACGAGGAGTGCAACGAGAAAAGATAGAAAAATTACTTCAAACACAAAAGAAAATTCTTAATAAAAAAAAGAACTCGACTACGAACAAGATAAAAATGACAACAACCGATGATCATACAGTTTCGATTCGAACAACGATCGATTCCACTGTGAAGAAAAATCGATCAATACAACCAAGGCTAAAATCGAATATTAATAAACGTAAAAGAGATATATCATTACAACAATTAAATTTGACAATACCGAAATCAACAAGTTCAATATCAATACTTCAATCATCACGGAAAAAGATAAAAAATAAAAAGCAACTCACAACAAGTAGTCCATCGATATACATTAACAACAATAATAATACAAATTATCGGTCTGTATTGCTTTCAACTTTCTCTTATATACTTATATTCAATAGATATTTATGATTGTAGACGACCTATGTATTTAAAACGATCACCATTGATAATCATTAAAATGTTAAATAATATATTCAATTATACTTTGAAGGAGACAAGTGAAAAACGATTTATTTGGATTCGTCTTGGTCTTTTGGATGGGTATTATTGTGTAAAATTACAACAACAATTATGGAAATCTTATCTTGATATAGGTACACAAGTACATTGTTGGCCAGTAAGTTTCTTGGTTTTTTTTTGAAATGCTATTTTGCATAGATTCATTTTCCTTTCCAAAAAATTCAAAGGATTGTCTATATAAGAAAGTAGAATCAAATGATTTTGAAATGTGTCATCAATATCTGAAAAATTATATAAATGAATTATCAGAACAGATGAAGCAATGTCAAATAGAAGTTAAAAACCAATCAAAATTATGTCCTTTCAAGGAATTATCATTGGATACAATTGATCAATGTCTCAATCAATTTGTTGAATGTCAACGAAATTATCTGTTCAGAAGACATAATCGTCAAGTAATCGAATTCAAAAATAATCTTCATGCAAAACAATTATGGACAACATTGTCTACGAACAATCTAACATTCGATCGTGTAAGTTTGTGTAAATCTTTTTTTGTTTTGTTTTGTTTATATAACAGGAAGGATATGCTGTTTACTAAGTACTTACCATTTAGAATAAATGTATGAATGAATTATGGAAAATACGAGAAAAACAAGGAGGACTTTATGAAGAAGTTTTAACATTAGAAATGCGAATATTATGCAAATTTTTACCAGAAAAATTCGATCATCTACAATATTTTATTGCACCTATCACTTATACACCATTAAATAATGATCGAAAAGCAATAGAAGTGAAAAATAAACATTATAAAATCATACAAGAAGCAAAACGTATATGGCTTATTCTTGCTTTACATGCTTATCATATTAGATTCCAAGAGTATGAAAGACAATATGAAAATATATTATTACAATTACAAACAGAACCAACTACTAGTACGACTGTTAATGGTTTATCTCTTTTTGATCAAATAAAAGAATATTTAACTGATCAAACAAAGAAATTAAAAAGAGATATCTATAAAAAAGTACTATCGTTTCGACAAACCTTAATTCAAATTCGTCAACATTCATCATTATTGAAAAAGAATATTATTGGTGTTTCACCTGAACCATATCTTGATCTAATTTCAAATCCATTCACCAAACGTCAATGGAATCATCTTTCACTTGGTAAGAATTTTTGATTGCAACAAAATTTTAATTTCTTTTTCTCTCGCATCCTATTAGGTCCATCCTGTATACGATTGAATCAAAGTTCTATTCGTTCTCGAAAGCAACAAAAAAAATTAATAGAAAATGAACATAAAAGAATTTATACTACAGTTACACATCATCTAATATCACCACCACATAGGATACCAATGAACTCATTGGCATTCAAAACTTTTTCAAATGAACTTCTTAATTATTTTAATCGTACTTATTTTCATCCAATATCCTATAAAGATCAGATACGAACAATGGAACAAACAAAAATGATGATATCAATTCGACGAAAAATACAAAAATTGAATCTTATTCTTCGTATGACTGATAAAGGTCACAATTTTTATATTGGTTCGTACGTAGAATTCGAAAAAAAAGCACAACAATTTTTTCAAGAAACGAATGCTTTTATGGAATTAGTAGAGAATCCATTTAATGAAGCTTTGGATAAAGTTGTACAATTACTCAATCGACTTCGTGAGAAAAAAGTAATTTCAGCATGGCAATACAATAAAATGATGCCTAATCTAAGTAAATGTGAATTAGCACATCTATATTTTAATCCTAAAACACATAAGGTATTGTAAATATTTCTTACTCTTATTTTTGTTCGTTCATACTTTATATGTCGGAATATAGGAAAAAATACAAGTTCGACCCATTGAAAATACGATATCAGCTCCAACAACTAATATTTCAAATTATTTAGATCAAATCATAAGACCGATATTCAATAATCAATGTAGTACAACAAGTATTATTGATGGCACATCATTAATTAAAAAACTTCTTGAATATAGTGAAAGAGGTCTTTTAAAATCAACAACTCTTTTCTGTACATTTGATATTCGTAATCTTTATACGATGTTACCACAAGAAGAAGCATTAAATATTCTTATTGAATTTCTTCATGTATATGGATATAACAAAGTCAAAGGCATTTCATTGGATACAATCAGAAAATTAGCTGCTATAGTATTGAAAGAAAATGTTTTTGTCTATGGTAAAAAATTTTATCGACAAACTCTTGGTGGTGCTATGGGTTCATCATTTACATTAACATTGGCCAATATTTTTATGTGGAAATGGCAAAAAGAACTTGTTCGTCGACAAGATATGACAGGTGAATTCTATGGCCGGTAAGTCGTCATCATCATCAATTAAGAAAAACTAAACTAGTCAAATGAATTGTAATATCATATTCTTTTTAGATATATCGATGATATCTTTATGACATGGAATCAATCAGAAAAAGAATTGAAAGATTTATTAGATAAAGCAAATACTAGGCATTCAAATATTAAATTAGAATATAAAATAAGTAAAAGTCTACCATTTCTTGATGTTCTTCTTACAAATAATACTGGCATACTATCAACATCATTGTATCACAAACCCGCAGCTGAACCTTATGTAGTACCATTTATTTCTGATCATCCTCGACATACATTCGTTAATGTTATACAAACTAATCTTGCACGTGCCATAAGATATTCATCTACCTTTGATAAATTTAATAATGAATTATGCCATCTAAAATTAACATTATTATTGAATGGGTAAGTATGTTCAAAACACAAATTGTGTATATATATTACTAAGCTATCTCCTAGATATCCATCGTTATTTATCGAGAAACAATATCGTAAATTTTTCAATGATTACATATCATCGACATCATTTTTACCTTATATACTTAATGAAAATAAATTTTTCTCGCTACGTAACAAATTCCTCAACATATTAACAATTCGACAATCACAAATGGCATTGAGTGGAGCACAAGCCAATATAAATAATGACCAACTTGAAGATGAAGAAAACCAAACAACAATCAAAAATATCAATAATCAAGCGAAAACAAACAAAGATTATAAAAATAAACTAATTATACATTACACACATGAAAAACGATTACAATCCACTAAACGAGACATACATGAATTGTTTAACAAGATCTTCAAAGATACACCAGTCGATAATGTTAAACTAATAATCGGGAATCGCATCCGTCGAAATGCGAGAAATGAACTTATCTGTAAAAAACCCAAACCCTTTCTACTACAAAACAAAACAAAACACAAGAGTAAGTAAAAACACCCTAATGGAAACCTTCCTTCTATACGACTTCACAAAACCACAGAAAACATTAAATTTTCATTATATAGAGCGACGAAAACAAAAAAAATTTAACCAACAAAATAAGAGCCAACTCAATCGCTCAACTGCAACGACGTCAGCTTCACCTACGAGATCCTCATCAAACCTTAATCAAATGCCAAACATACGTCATGGAAACTGAACGAAACGCATACAAGATGTACCTATTTTAGCACCACTAAAAAACAAATACAAATAAAAACATTAATTAATTAAATACTTTCCCTTTCTCCGAATAAAACCATAAATTTCCACAAAATAATTCTTCCTTTTCAATTTTCCTTCTAGATAATAACCTCCATCATTAAAGGACTGTAGTCCTCCTCAAACTGGATATCATCTGCAACTAATATCTAACCCGACCAATTACACCACTCCATTAATAGAAAACAAAATACAACCGTTACGAAACAAACACAACACGCATTACACAACAATTAATAAGAGCAACACATATATAACAACAATAAAATGAAACCAAAAACACAGACTCAACAAAATACAACATATTCAAAACAAACTAAAACAAGACGAACAACCACTCCACTTTCAAACCTTCCAACCTCAAAAAACATTCGAACTCGATAAGCCATCTGAATGAGTCCCTTAAGCAAGGACGAAATCGATCATGGCAGCTTTTCCACACCACTGCCTTATGTGAAATAAATCTTCAATTACAACTCGATCTAGAGATTGTAACACTGAAGTTTATATCTTGTTTTGGATTTTCTGAATAGAATAATTCGAAATAGATAAGCCATCTGAATGAGTCCCTTAAGCAAGGACGAAATCGATCATGGCAGCTTTTTCACCCACACCAACACCCACACCATTGAACAAACACTCTTGTGATCAATGGAAACACAGGCAAATGTAGTTCACTATAAAATTTTGCTTCGACTCCATCAAATTGTGAACTTTTGGAAGGCACTCATATTAAATACACTAGTATTGAAAAGAAAATTTGCGTCTGAACTCGCCCTAAGTCATCATTAGATAGAGAGACGATAATCAAGGATAATAATATTTTTTTGAATGATAGTACCCAAGTAGACAAGAATTTGGAAAAACGCGTTTAAACCCTACAATCGGGAACCGCGATTGTGATCCACTCACGCTCAAAAAAATAACGCCGTTTTTCACGTTTTTTTGCACTTAATTTTCCCTTTTTGACCGTGAAAACGGTGAAAATCCCAGCTTCTGAGCGATAAAACGCTTGGTTTTTAAGTTCCAGAAAACTCCAGAAGTAAAAGCACGTTTTAACGCTCAAAAACTGGGGTTTTCGCCGTTTTCACGGTCAAAAAGTGAAAATTATGCACAAAAAGACGCAAAAAACGTGAAAAACGGCGTTATTTTTTTGAGCGTGAGTGGATCACAATCGCGGTTCCCGATTGTAGGGTTTAAACGCGTTTTTCCACATTTTTGTCTGCTTGGGCACCAGCCTATTAAGTGGTTATATTGCAGAATCAATTTCATATTGGTTTGAAGATGCTTTTTTCTTTTAAAAAAATTACTTTTTTCGACTTAAATCCAGTGCTTAAGAAAGCAATTAAGCAATATCATATTTCTATTTATCAAAAGATCATGTCGTGCAGTGCTTCACTTTCCGCGAATATGAAAAATATTGTCACTTCTTTGTATAAAAAGATGAAGACTATTGCTATTGAGTCTCATTTCAGCAGAAATAATGCTTTCAACAATAGTATGTTGTTTCTTATTCACTCTATTCAGGTAGCTCTAAAATCTTTTTTTTCCTATTCATCTAATGTTGAACAATCTCCCTTTTTAGTTTTACAGGTTTGATTCTTCTTTTGTTTTACATGTTCTACTATTATTTTATGTCCTTAGTACAAGTAAAATCCCGATTTTGTGATGGAATACCTCAATATGGTCGATGCTCACTAAATAGTGCCTGTGCCTGCTATCATATAGCGGGCGCTGTTAATATTGGTATTTGTCTCAATATACTCGTCGATTGTTCTGAGCTAGTTAAATGTGGAGACTCAGATAACACTTGTTTCGAACCTAACCATAGATGTGTTCGTCATCCTCGTTGTCATAATCGTCCTGTTTGCTATCCAGTGCCGAATCTCAATCAGCTACTCTGTCCACCAATATCGAGTAAGAAAATAGATGGTGATCTAGACACCGCAATGGAAGAAGAATCCTTTTAAAGTTATTTCTTCATCGTCTATAAATTCTCACGTTGGCAGTTCATTTTATTATAGAAGCGGTAGGAAAAAATTAATGATCCTTTAAAAACAGAGTCAGTTGAAGTAAAACACAGATAAAACGAGACGTAATCATTGAAACAAAAAGATTTCATTTGTTCTCATGAACAATATCCATTTATTTGAAGAATAATCCATCACACTTATATCTAGCAGTGCGTCAATACGCCGTAAACCTTTAAGGATATATGAGGAATCAAAAACAAATAATTGAGCATTTGATCAATCTGTGTGATTAGATTCTTTCGAACGTTTCATATATTAGCATTCCGATCAAAACAAACCAATTCTAATATAGCATACTTCTTTTTATTCAGTTTTCTTTGTATATGAGACCGATTCTAGTGAATATTGAACTTTGCTAAATAGCCTTCTATCAAAAAAAAGCTGTTAGTACAATCTCTTGTGGGATTAAAAATATGAAACACGACATACCCAATACGAATGATGCAACCGAAATTTTCTGTTAAGACATAATCGATACGACATTCAAGATTTTTAGGAGTTTTTGTACATTTATTATCAAATTCCACAAAAGTAAAAATAAGAATACTGTACGGAATTCATCTACAGAAAGTATGCAGAATAAATACGAAGAGGGTGTGGGTGTGGGTGTGGGGTGTGGGTGCGTGGGTGTGGGTGTGGGGTGTGGGTGCGTGGGTGTGGGTGTGGGGTGTGGGTGCGTGGGTGTGGGTGTTGATGCTTCTGTTACCCACATCCACACTCACACCCACACCCCACACCCACACCCACATCCACACCCCACACCCACATCCTCACTCACACCCACATCCTCACCCACACCCACACCCACACCCACCCACACCCTCGTCTTAATAAATACTACTTTTTAACGAAGCAAACGTAGTTTTTTTATATAGTATTAATCTACAGCCAACTATAGATTAAATTGATAAGATAAATGCACTGATATTATGAATGATTCAATATTTACCATTAGTAAAAACTAGATAATATTAATCTTCATGTTAATTAGCTATCTTAATTACCGAAGTTTGGTTCATTTTCTTGACAGCTATAGAATTAAATTCGTCTTCACCTGAATACAAATAATCTTAAAGTCAAATGGTTCGATGCTATCGAACATCTTTTTGGAAGCATTTTATTCATAGTATTGACTAAAAAAGATCTCAAAGAGCTTCTTTTTCGTTTTCGGTAAAGAGTAAACATGCCATTGTCGAATAGCATAAGATTAATTGAAAGTTAATAAATCGATCATTTGGAAAAATCGTAAAAATAGCTCAGGAGAAATTTCTAATTGTGATATGGCTTTCATTCATATTACTTATTAGATACAAATTAGCTGCAATTACTTGACATATATGGAAACATATTCACAGGTGTTCTCTAAAATGTAGTTAGTAGTGATTCAGATAACATTAATAAAATATTCAAATAAATCAAGTACATCAAGAAATACGTATAATTGAAGATTCGATATGGATAGCATAGAATACAGAAATTTACACCAAGAATTGTCTCCTTCCTTCGTTACACATTTAGTTGAGAGAGGATAGGGTTGTCAGCGTTCCCCGGAACAGGGAACAGGAATGCGACAAGCGCTTCCTTCTCCTTAATAGATCGTTTTCAATTCTATCGAATTGAAGACAGTTTCTTACAAATTAAACACTTTCAAAAAATTTGACCGAAGGTAACCGATTCTGTAATTGGTTCCTCAAAATTTTGAGTTTCAGTTTGTCGTCATGGAATTTTTTTTTGAAAATAGTAACTTTTACAAAGTGTGACCAAAGTACTTGAGGTCGAGAAATCATAATCTGGAATCGGTTTTCTGAAATTTCAAGTTTGTTTTTTTTTTCAAAAACGCATACACTATAAGTCAAAAGTATTCTCTTATGATCTCAGCTACTATACAAGCTGTTGCACTAAAAATTTTAGCTAAACTACCTATGACCATTGTGGAATCTATAACTTGGCAACAAAGAAACTTTTTGAGCTCAAGTTTTCATTCTTTTCATTCTCTGTATATTGCCTATCTCTGGTGAGAGTTTCGTTAAAATTCATTGAGCTCTTATGAACTTGAACTCATATCACTAAAGACATGAGCAACAGAGAAAACTATCAATAAAAATGTGTTTGCCACAATTCAGTCTGAAATTGACATATAAATCTCAAACTTACAGCTAAGGACATATCTATGGTATTATCTGCCCTGAAATTTTCAGAACCATAGCTACTATAAAAATGGAAAATTATGTCATTCTATATCTGAAGACTGAAGCCATGGAAAACGAAAATCGTATAGTATAACACGCTGTTCTTTGTAGCTTGAATAGAATATCGTAAGAATTACTCGTTATATTAAAAGTATCACCCGAGTTTAGTCGAATCTCAGAAAATCTGCATAGAATTCACACATCATTATTTCTGGCTAAAGTTCGGTCAGAACTTACGAACTTTAACTGTCGAAAATACTTGTTTTTCATTGTTTTGCAAGATAATCTGCTTTAATTTTACCCCCAAACAGTATTTTTGTAAAGGCTGTACTGACCTTCTGCAATTTGATGAAATCCGGATGATATTTTTAGTATAAAGAGTATTTCTTACAATGTTCTAATTAAGGTACAAAGAACAATTTGTTATGCTGTACTATTCTGACTTCCTAGGGCTCTCGCTCTTTCAATATAGAATGACGTGAATTTCCATTTTTATAGTAGTTAAAGTTCTGAAAATTTCAGGACACATAGTGTCATAGATAAGCCGTTCTTGATACAATTTTCAAGTCAAAAAATTAAGCCTAACACGAGATTCCAGCCATAAAGTCGTGAGGTTGTGATCTATTAGTTCCATAGTTAGATAGATGTTAGTTCAGAACATAATAATGATAAACTCTATTTGTCATAAAAACTTCACTGTTGGGACAGGAAGAGCCAAGCTTTCTAACTATGGATGGAACGCTGTTATGTGTTCTTTCTAACTTGAGATAATACTGCAGAAAAATATCGTTAATATTAACCTTAGATGTCAGTCTAGATAAAAGTTTGGTGCGCAAACTTTTGTGTACAATCAGGACTCATCAAGTTCTTCTTATGATAGAAGCTTCAAGACAAAATAGTCTTGTCTCAATAGTTTTGATTTGGTAGAAAGACTATTGACAGATCAATTTCGACGAGTAAACAACTTTTAAGGTTCATCAAAAAAATAAAAATGGTGTGAGTGTGTAGATGGGTAACTCCTTTATAACTTTGCACATCCTCGTTGTCATAATCTTCCCGTTTGTTATCCTGTGTCGATGATTGATCCGTTTAAGTGAAGCTAAAATTTCTCTACAAGATATTTCTTGATCTTTCATGCATCTACACATCTGCAGTTGGTAGGAACATGAGAACATTGATAAGAACTTGATCAGACTTTGAAAAACATTAGATCAAGTATTGCAGAAACAAAATCACTTTTTAGTTAATTCCAAAATAATTTTATCTAATACAAAATTACTTCTGCATAACATGCTAAGTATTTTAATTTTTGCAAGCATTACATTTTATTCGACTTTCTTCTTATAAAACGATACTTGGAACTATGAACTTGTATTCTAATAAAAATCAATGCATCTAAGCATTTGTTTGCATTCAGAAGTACAGTAGGATATCTTCATTGCTGTACGAATTATTATTACTATGTTCTCACAACTTTTTGTCTAATCAAGACATCAGATATGATGAGTCTAACCAAACTTGCTGGATTCAACTGAGACAAGTTTCATAAGGTCGAATCATCAAAACAATAACTTTCATTTAATCTCTAGTGACTACCGAAATTAGTTTTTGACAAGAAGAAATTGCTTTTGAAAACTATCGAATGTCATTGTTCTATTCTAAAACTTTGTCTAGTCTTCATCTAAATCTAAAACACATCAAGTAAATTAACATTCTGTGTCGGAGTATAAAACTATGTGCTTTTTTTACATAAATATTTTATATTAATGAATAGCAACCAATATTACGAATGATTTTATCAAGATAGAGATTCAATCTTAATCTTGAGACAAAATAGAATAATAGTAATATCCATATTAACTTTTTCTGATCACTATGAAAACCGTCTTTATTTTATTTTTTTCTATAAAGTAGAATTCATTTCTTCTTTTCCTTTGATATTACTACAGATATTATCTGCTTACATCAAATCATGTAGAGAGAATTCATTAAAAACGAATAAATCATCAAAATACATTAAAAAGTATTCGAATATATATATATGATAGAAAATTTCATGCAGATACCACAAATATATTTTGTATATTTAAGGACTTTTCAAAATTTATTCTTTGTTGTTGTTATTTTTCGAAGATATAAAAACAAATGCACATGTACAACAATATTTACCAATAGAATCTAGATTTTATTGTTTTCAATTGTCATCTTTCTTCACAAAATACATCAATAGAAAACATTTCACATTATTTCAATAAAGTCTATTGTACAATATTTTCTATTCTGAATAAGTGAAATACTAATGACTGAATTAAGACTTTCTTTTTCACGTAGCTAAACTAAAAATAGGAAAAAAATTCAAATTTTGTTCACCTAATTTCTAGAACAAATTAATGAAACAATAAGTTTTTTTTTTGTAAATCTATTACACATACTGTTTTCTAGAGCGTGCCAAATATCCTTTAAGTCTTAAGAAAAAACTAATGAACTTTCTAAAACTGAATTTGATTTGCAAGAAACCAGATAAAAATTATTTTAAAATATATCAAGCAGATAATTGTTATAATATACTTTCAATTATTTGAAAAAAATTCATTTTGATTTAAATATTAAGATATTAACTAAAACCATTTGTTTTTATACATTTTCTTAAGATTAGAATTATTTAACTTAAAAAAAAGAAAACTGGATATTCTCTTGATTAAAATAAAATTCTTCTCAAAGTTAAAATTCTATGAAGATTATTTGTTAGGAACTAATTCACGATTTATGCTACACCGCATACAATAAGATCTTCGCAATTTTTTCTCAAAAACTTGATTAATGTGATCATTTAAAGAAATGACAAATACATAGATCAAAAACTTAACGAATTTTATTCTTGACATTCATAGATTCCATAACTATCGAGATGCATAGTCATCCATTTCTACAAGAGACTAGAAAGCAAACTGTTTGTTTTATTTATATTTTTATTGTGAATCATTTGATACTATTAAGCTATAAAAACCGAAAAAAGATTTTGAAAATATTGACTTTTTAAAGACGAGTCACTTATTTTTGACTCATCTATTTTTCAGTAGAGAAAAAAAATGTTCCGATCAAATTAAACTATTAAATATTTAAGGTTACAAAACACTCGAATGTGTCATCATCTCATACTTTTCTTTTTTTCTCTCAGATAACTTCTTTTCAAATATCCTTTATTTTTTTCTGCTATGGTACAATGACGTCACAATTTTGTCTTTTCTCCTTTGATTTTTTGTTTTTTCGAAAATCTTCTCATTTTTTGTTGGATATATATATATATTCTCTTGCTCTCATTGATGAGTTTACACTATTCTTGAATTGACAAAGTATATCATTTTCTCTGTCGAACTTGCCACTCTTCCTTCTATCGTGTTTACAACTAATTTTTACAATGAAATCTGTTATTAGTAAATTGTCACTTTGTTTGAAAAATAAAATCATTGTTTTTCTTTATTATCATATGATTTTTATATAGCCACTTTGAGTTAAAAATAAGAAGATTGAAAAATGTTTTTTTTTTTGATTGAAAAAATATTCTGTTCTCAAAGAACACTATTTCGTTTCAAACTTTCGCAATATATGTGAAATCATTAACCATTTTCTTTTTTATATTCTATTGACAACTATAGGAGTAGATAACTTACATAGATGAATAGATTTTTACCGATTAATAATACTGATTTTCAAATGCTTAATAAAATTCGAAGGATAAAAAATAGAAAACATTAATGAGTGAAATAAAAAAAAGTAATTATTTTTTCGAAATAACTTCAAAAAATGTGTCGAAACAACTTTTATTCTGCACATCATTTATCATTACAAACATTCATTTCTTTTAAATATTTTCTGAATATCTGATCATTAGTTAAATCAGATTTTTATTACTATATTTCGAAACTTATTATTCATTAAAACAAGATAGTCTAATAATTAATAAGAAGATTAACTCATTTTTCACAGTAATAGTTGAATCAAAAAATCCAAATGATAAGGCTACAACCTGTACAGTAATATCAGAGGGCAGAAAGTATTGCGAAAACAAACTAAGTTCTGCTGCACCCATTTTAAGCAAATCTAGTGTACAAAAAGAGTTTTGTACTATTTTGAAGCTTTTGAATATGTCATCAGTGTCAAACCATAAGTATGAGTACATGTTTTTAAAAGTCGAAGCTGCTACTATTCTTTCATTGTCTAAGTAGAAATCTCAAACAAAATCTTGAGTATTATCAAGATAGAATATAACTAAGAGTGTTTTTTCTTTCTGCAGCCTGTGTCCCATTACGTGGAAGTGCCATTAATATTCATCCAAATGCTCGATGGGAACAAAATGGTATTACAGTGGCTGGAGGAAATGGATTAGGCAATGAAACCAATCAACTCTACGCCCCAGTGGGTTTGTTTGTTGATGATGAGCAGACAATCTATGTTGCTGATTACTCGAATCATCGTATTATGGAATGGAAAAGAGGTGCGACAAGTGGTCAAGTGGTTGCCGGTGGAAATGGACAAGGAAGTGGAACTCATCAATTGAATACCCCATACGATGTAATTGTCGACAAAGAGACTGATAGTGTCATTATATGCGATCGTTTAAATAAAAGAGTAGTTCGATGGCCTCGTCGAAACGGAACAAGTGGAGAAACAATCATCTCCAACATCCATTGTTGGGGTTTGACAATGGACGAAGATGGATCACTCTATGCAGTTGACTATCTAACAAATGAAGTGAGACGATATCGAAGAGGAGACTCTCAAGGAACAGTGGTGACAGGTGGCAATGGACCAGAAAATCGTCTCGATCAACTTAATGGCACAACATTCGTATTCGTCGATCAACATCAAACAGTTTACGTGTCTGATGAGAACAATTATCGTGTGATGAAATGGATGAAAGATGCAACTCAAAGCATTGTCGTAGCTGGTAGTCACGGAAATGGAACTAATCTTACACAATTGTCCTATCCTGGAGGAGTCGTTGTCGATCCATTGGGCACTGTCTATGTGGCTGATTCAGGAAATCATCGAATCATGCGTTGGCCCAAAGAAGCCTCCCAAGGCAATGTCATTATTGGTGGAAACGGTTATGGAGAACAATCGAATCAACTCTGGCACCCCTACGGTTTGTCATTCGATCGACACGGCAATCTCTATGTCGCCGATCGATGGAATCATCGAGTACAAAAGTTTAACATTGTCTCAAATGCTTAAAACATTATTCGAATGCTATTTTTTTCTTTGCTTCTCAATAAATATAATTCGATTCCTATACATCCTTGTTTTCTATTGTATTCACGCGCGTGTGCGCGATCTCGAACTATCTGACAATGTTCCTAGTTGATGTCTACATGGTCAATCCAAAAGGCGTAAAAAGATATCCTATATGAATAATCCTCTATTCCTCCGTAACAAAAAACCCCTCTCAACGTTTTGAAGCTAAAACAGAAAATTAGTTAAACGACAAAGATGGACATACTTACATTGTATTAGATGCGATGGTAATGTAATCAATCTAAAAAGAAAAAAAACATAGATGGTCAAAGGGATCAAACGATGAGTAAAGAATGATTCACTTAGTTTTAGTGTAACTGTTTATTGAGACTAATGTATTTCTACACAACAAAAATCAAAAGTGCTTTATATTTCTATATAATTTGGTAGATCATCGATTGTTCTATTTAATTTTTGAAGTTTTCATTCGATTTAGTTGTCATCTAGATGAAAAACTTAACAAATTTCAAGAAATACAAATAAAATAGATTTGTTTTTCTGTTAAATTTTCAGTTGTTCTCTTAGAATAGTCGGAATAATTCTTAAGTATTAGAAATTGTTTTTCAACAGATCAGTTGTGTCGTAAAAACTAAGTGGATCATTTTATTATAATTCATCTCAAATGATCTCAATGAGGATATAAATATAAAATAAAAAAAAAGAAAAATTGAAACGACACCCACATTTTATTTTGGAATAATTTTGCTTGTCGTTGTTGTTGTTGTTATTGTTGTTTGATTGAAAACTAACTTAAAATAAAAAGAAAACATTAGTATTTATTTCGAAGTTGGGATGAAAATTCATTGAAAAAACATGAGTATATATACTCATTTATTTCAATCATCTTCGATATATAAGAAGATATATTCAATCATTCATATCGTCTATATATACGAATAGATTAAACTTAATTGATCTATGTGTAAGTATTTACGTCGTGTGATGAACTTAATCATAATTGTCATTACACAATAAACGCATGAATGTGGATGTTTGAGTGTTAGAATGTTCTCTTTAACTACATCTACTCACACCCAGTTTGCGGGTGTGGGTGTGGGTGT